TGGCAAACAGCACGGTTGGGGGACTTACAGGTTTGCCAGCGGCGAGGTCTACCCCCCCTGCAGACTGGCAGAACGGCAAACAGGGAACGAACAGGCACCCAGACGGCGCCGTCTACGAGGGGAACTANNTGGCAAACAGCACGGTTGGGGGACTTGCAGGTTTGCCAGCGGCGAGGTCTACCCCCCCTGCAGACTGGCAGAACGGCAAACAAGGAACGAACAGGCACCCAGACGGCGCCGTCTACGAGGGGAACTACCAGGATGGCAAGAAGCACGATTGGGGGACTTATACAGGTTCGCGGACGGCACGGTGCACGTTGGGGAGTACCAGAACGACCAGTTGCACGGCTGGGTGACCTTGAGGTTCGCGAGCGGCGAGGTCTTCGAGAGGGAGTACCAGAACGACAGGCGGCACGGGAAGGGGACGTACACGCATAACAATACGGCAACGTGGAGGTCGGCTTCCACGAGCGGGACAAGCCCAACGGCCGCTCGGTGAAGCTCAGCGCGAGTCGCACGAAGGCCTGGCTCTATATGGATGGCAAGGACGAGCGCCAGGTCTCCGTGGTCTCCGTGGCCGAGGCGGGGCACGGAGAGCAGAGAAGGAAAGCGCCGTGCGCGTGACCGCTCCAGGCGCGGAAGGTGACGAAGGAGTGCGGACCTCGGCAGTTGCTGTGTTTGTGTAACTTTTCCGTGGAGAACTCTGAGCCCAGGTCAGCGAAGGACTACTCAGAAGAAAGTTGAGTGAGGGCTCAGGGCACCGATCTATTCAGATTTCAACTTTTTAGAAAGTTTCGGAAGTTCAGCCTGGTGGTCGGTGGCCCTGAAGGGCCGGTTGGCCGCCGGAACACAATCATCGCGGTATGATCACTTCGAGACTGCGGGACATGTCGCGGCTCTCGGTGGCAAAGCAAAAATGTGGAGCATGCGAACCGAGTCGGAGCTTCTGTGATGCAAGAGGCCACTGCAGGCAGACTCGAAATTTGAGAGAGTCTGGGGTTGAGGTTGCCTGTGTATGGTTTAAGGTTTAAAGTTTAGGGCATCTGGAGTTGCTGGTGTTCAGCGCTTGGTAACCATGTCATTGCAGCTGCGGGCTTTGTCAGGCTTGATGTGGCGGGAGCTTAGACATGATTGTAGGCAGAGTTGGGGAGAGGCGGAATATAGATCCGTACGGGGCCCTGACACCAGATCTGAATCGACCTCTGCCCATATCGGGCTTGCTTCAGGTTCGCAGCCTTCATTCCCCGCAGACCCGGCAAAGGTGAATACACCCAACCCTGCATCCTGAATCCACCCGAAACCCTTGACCCATAATCACAAAGCCTGAGTCCTGGACCGTTCCAAGCCTTGCAACGAATCCAGAAAGTTTCGAGACCTTGCAATGTAAGTCATGCCTCGGAAGTTTGAGTTCCCCAAGCTCAGGGCTTAGGAGTTACAGAGCTTAGGTTTGGGGTTCCGGGTTCTGCAGTTTACGGAACACGGTTTAGGGTTTACAGTTCGAGGTTCTCCAATTGAGGCCTGAACCTTTCATTTAAGTCTCGGCCGGGTTCCCTTTCCTTATTAGAATCATCTACTTAGAATCCACAGATCGCCATAAACTATATACCGCGCAACTTAGTTGTTGGCTTCTTGGGTCCATTGGACAATAAACCCCCGAAAATACCCAGCCAGAGCCCCGTAGAGTACTTATAAGACGTTTATGCAAACTAAGCTTCAAACCCAACACAAACGAACCCTGAAAGACCCTTAATTAAAGGAACCCACAAAGGAACACGTGAAGGAACCGCACAGTGCCCTCAGACAAGAGAGCACGTAAGCCGTGTAAATTCCTTAGTTGACCCCCACAGCCTAAACCCCTTAAAGGACCCCTTGAAGTTCTTAACACCCTTACAGGAACCCTTATAGTGACTACAGTGACCATGAAAGAGCCCTGACAGTAACCCTGATAGGAGCCCTTAACAGAACCAACCTTGAAAGCCCTCAAAAGCCTTTCAGGGAACACGACCTTTATAGAACTTTTAAAGGGTCCCCTTCAAAGGAATCCCTTTGGGGAATGCTCGGAGGTCTTTGCCAATGTCGTAGCGGAGGTTGAGAAAGAGCCGCCGAAAGTCACGGCCAGATCCTTAGAGGTTTAGGTTTTCCTTTAAGGGTTCCTGTAAGGGTTCCTTTCAGGGTTCCGTTTAGCGGTTCCTTTCGGGGTTTCTTTTGGGGTTCGTTTATGGGTTCCTTTAAGTACCTGTTGCGGGTTCCTTTAAGGGTTCCTTTCAGGGTTCCGTTTAGCGGCTCTTTTCCGGGTGTCCTTTAAGGGTTCCTGTACTGTAAGGGTTGCTGTAAGGACCTGTTGAGGGTTCCTTTAAGGGTTCCTTTATAGGGTTCCGTTAAGGGTTGTATAAGGGTTACTCTGAGGTTCTATAAGGGGGGTTCAGGGGTTGATAGGGTTCCTTGTAGGGCACCTTTCACCCCTTTGAGGGTTGTACCGGGTTTAGGGTGTAGGGGTTTAGGGTTTGGGGCCCACGGGGGTGTTGGAGGTTCAAAGTATACATATATATATATATATATGTGTGTATATATATATATATGTGTGTATACATATATATATGTATATATATATGTATACATATGTATATATCTGTATACGTACACCTAGACATGAATATGTATAAGCACTCCTGAAACCCTGGTAAAAAGCTCTTATGAACCTCTCAGCTATGTATAATAAAGCCCTTCTAAAGCCTAAACCCTAAGGAGTTCATCTTGTTGGAAGCTGAGTCTGTGATCAGTCGAGTACAGGGGTGAGCGTTCAGTCGCTCAGGCTTCAGTGACGCCCCGGGCTTGCAAGGTACATTAGTTTGTTGTGTCTTTCTGCCTCAGGCAGTGTGCACGTCCTTTTTCTCGTGATTGACTTGTGCATGGGACTTGGGGTTCATCTTCTTTGGGGCTTACTGCTGCTATCGTTGCAATGATTACGGTTTTCGGGCTAAGGATGGCTGCGCACATGGCGCATGGCAGTGTTGTGTTCGACAGCGTGTCATGTTTTGTGGTAGTCAGCTGCAGTAGTTCAGTCTGGTGCATGGGCTTAGAGCAGGGAGTCACCCCCATGAGAGGCACACAATCGATGACAGCACCAGTTTGGGCAAGCCGCAACGCGTTCAAGTAATTGCACGACTTTTCGTCGTCGTCACTGGGGTTGGTCTTGCAGCGGCTGAGCAGCTGTGGCCGTCTTTGTTGTTTCATCAGCCGTGGACAACACAAAACCGTAACATGGGGCTTGTGGTTCGGGAGCCATGCTTTTTCATGTTAACTTGCATTAGAGTGCCTGGTGACTGTCCCTAAAGGTTGATGGTTGACTCTCAAGCCCGCTCCCCTAATAAGGCTTATCGTAGATAGCTGGGTATTTGCAGGCCTTGGAAAAAGCGGGAGTATGCAGGGGTCTTCATTACACTACATGGAGGTCATGGATTGTGTGGTTTAGGGGGCTTCCTGTTTTGACATCTTGCCTCGGGCAGACTCGAACATAGGTCCAAAAACAAGTGCTGCAACTCAAAACCTAGTTAGTAGTAACAGCCCCACACGGAATCTCCCGAAGCCGAAACCCGAACACCCAAACCCTCTGTATCATTTCGGAGCTGCGAAGGTGAAGGAAGTTCCAATCAGACTGCCCAGCTTTGACGATGCTCCTTGGCAGAGACGGCTGAAAGGCAGGAGCTTCCTAGGGAAGGCCTTTACAGCGCGTTCGATTGATATGCCTCTATAGCAGTGTTCATGGGGGCATGGGAGCTCAGGCCCTCCTTCTAACCCTAAACCCTAAACCTAAACCCTAAACCCCATCGACCCTAAACTCTAAACCTGAACCCCATGCTTCCAAATCCATTATGAAAGTGATGTAGACTTTAGGAAGATCCCTCTCAACACTGTATAAGACATAATCGAGGGCCCCCATCAACCCCCATACACTCATAGACCACTTCTAGAATCCCCGACTAGGAATCCCTAAGCCAACGCAGCACTCCGTAGCACGAAGCCCGATGGAAGAAAAAATCGAAGCCCCGCACACAATATGTTCGAACTTCGACAGGCATCATGAGTCTTTCGAGGTTTTAGGGCGAGGGACGAGGGCATCAGGGTATTTTGGGTCAGGCTCTGAGGGTTTAGGGTTGAGGGCTTTGGTGTTTAAGGATTTGGTCCCTTTGAAGTTTTGCATTCAGGGTGTCCAGTGATTAGGCCTAGGGTTAAGTGCAGCAGACTACACCGCGAACCCGAATCCCCATAAACCCAAGCACAACCCTTTTGGGAGGCTCCCTTCCTAAAATTCTCGAGACAGCAGGATCAAAAGCTTTTTCGATGGGCCATATGAGTGGCCCGGGTAAGCCCGAAGCAACTCTCAGAAGGTCTGGCCACCACAAAATGGGAGTTTCCGAGAACAGGGGGGGGGGGGTACCTTTCTTTTGATCCTTATACTAAGGATTCCTACTATTTAGGTACGATGTTAGGGTCCCCTCTTTTTCGGAAACCCCAAAAGGCGAATTCTCCAAATTAAGAAACCTGTCTATAAGGGTGCCGCGCTATATTAGGGACCTATATTAGGGACCTGAACGGGGACCTTCAATTTGGAGAACTACCCACATGTAGAGGGTCGGGTACTGCTGCAACAGGGCATCTAGCAGCAATGCACATGTACATGTACCTGTTGACAGAAATTATGTACATGTACAGGCGCAGGTACATCCACTTCCACTTCCACATCTAGGTATAGATCTACATCTACGGGTATCTGTCTGTACGTATAATATGCATACATACACATATACATGAAATGTTACACATATACACTGCATGCTGCACGATGTACATCACACAGTATACATTCTAGTGTCAGTTGCTCGATATCATACATTATAAGCTTAACTATACACTTCGCGGTATACAAACTTACATAAACAGATGCATACAGATAACACACGCATAAATGCACGCACATAGTTTTATAACACGCATAGCCTGCTTGAGTAAGTTATGAAGCTTCAGACCTCGCAGCCCTAAACTCAACAACTTGAAGCCCTGAACCCCACGGCCCGAAACCCTAAAACCAAAACTATTTAATTCTAAACACGCGAAGCCCTAAACTGCCTTAAACCCTAAAGCCCTAAGCCCTAAAAACCCCTAAGCCTGAAACCCGTAAACTGCCCTTAGTATGGGGGCCTAGATAATTACCTACATTATTTGGGGGGGGNNAACCCTATGGTAACTATTAAGGCCCCTACATTACAAGCCTTGAGACTCTGAAACCCCTAAAGCCCTCAAGTGGCCTAAACCATACTATTTTTTTTGGGGGGGGGGTCCTTATTATGATTGTAGTATACTATACCCCAAAACCATTATATTCCAATAAACCCTAAACCATGTGCCGCGCGCCCAGGTACTGATACCCTCGAAGCCAAAGCCTGTCATCGCCGAAGACTCAGCTTTTAGGGTTTAGGGCTTCGGGAGTTTTCGGGTTTATTAGGGTTTAGGGAGTTTAGGGTTTAGGGCTTCGGGAGTTTTAGGGTTTATTAGGGTTTAGGGAGTTCAGGGAG